TGCTAATTCATTTCCACTTTCTTTTATTTATCTCATTATTTTTTTTTCTCGGCAATAGCTTCTTCTCGAGTTCTTTATTTTGACTAAAAATTCGATTCAGTTATTTCTTCATCACTAGAGACAAAAGTAATTAATTGAGTTCGGATTTCCTTTTTTAGGTATATAAATCGGGGAGCATTATGTTATCATTTATTTTTGAGATTATGTTGACCGAGATGAATTATCACGACATAATAACATCTCCTACTTATTTATTTTCTTATCTTGTGGTTTGGACTGTTAATCTATCAGTTTTGTAGAACATATACTTTTATTTATTTTAAATATTTATTATTTTATGTTTTTAATACATTTTAAATATATATATTTTTTAAAATAACCTTAAATATTATAATACAAATGGATATCGTAACTTGTATTAAAATACACTAAAAATATAATGATTGAAGGAATATAAGTGTTGATTCAACCAATCTTGAGTAGAAAAATGAAAGATAAGGTAGGTGTACCCAATCTATGGTGCTACTGCTATATTATTTTATTACATCATCACTAATCTTTTCGTATTTCAAGATCTTAACCAGGTTTGGAACCAAAAAACAATTTTCAATAACCTTAACAAGAATATGGTTTCAATAAAAAATAAATTACCAAAGTTTTACCTAATTACGGTTTTATTTTTTAAAATATATTTTTAAATAATATAATATGATTATAAGATAATATATGTTTACAATTTTTTAATCTATTAATAATATATATCATATGAGATGATTATAAGATAATATATATTTACAATTTTTTTAATCTACTTATAATATATATCTTACCGATATAACTATTTAAATATATAACTTTGAGAATATTTTTTCCTCTTATCACTAATATGTATCATTACATAAATAGACTAAATCATAAACCTTAAATTCTAAATCCTGCATGAACCAACTTACCTCAATAGTTAAAGGAATCGTTGTTATTCCTAAATGTCACAAGTATTGTCAAATAGTTGATAATACTTAGAGTAGATACTACTTTGTAAACACCTTTAGTTTGATAAAAAAAATCTAAACCTTAAACTCTAAACCCATTTTTATAGATTTTATAGATTTATTTTCTTTTAAAATTATAAAAATTAATTCATTTTTATATAAAATTATACGTTGATTGCTACGAATGGGTGAGTTATGAGAGGTGAAATCAAATGTTGTCACATAGTACTATTTGTCATTGGTAGGTCTTGGGCCTGAAGACATGGTCCAATTTTATTGGACAAAAAAGCATTCCTTTTAGTTTCGTCGCACTCGAATGTTTACTTATTTATATCCCGACGAATTCTTATTTCAAATGATGACACTAGAGGTAAAATTTTGGACATGTGTTGATTGTGTTAATGTTTGATGAATGCATCTGATTTAAGAATAATATCTTGTTACAAGGGTTTAAATCATGATTAATGTATGTCTTGTCCAATGTATTTTTAGTTGGTATATCTGGGCTAATGTAAAATTAAATATATACTTGATTTTGTGTTATGATAATGATCATCATGTAAAATTAACTTCATAGGAGAATAACCTGGGACACTAGTACAAGTATATGCTTAACCATGTATTGATATGAAGCATGATTAGTAAATCTGACTATTTTGTAAGATTAGTGATTATATGTATGACCCACTAAATGATGACATGCTAAAAGTGAATCTTAAGTTAATGCCTTAATTGTTTGCTTCTCAAATTACTATTAACCTACACTTTTGTACTTCTAAGCGGAGATATCTTACTCATGTGATAGGTTAGTTACCCCTTTAACTTTCTTGCTTATATTATTGTGGTCAGTATATTTATGTAGTTCATAAAGTGTAACAAAATAGATATACACAACTGAACTTGTAAATCTCAAATTTTAATAATTATTTATTCTAATGAACATGTATATCATGAAACCTTAATGAGTCATGCTCATAATTCTTTAAAACTGTGATTTCTTTTTAGTATTTGATTTTAAATAACAAAACTTTAAATTTTACCAATACCTCTTGTAATTTTATTTTATTTTTAAGATTTGAAATTTCATTTTTGATTAAGAACGCTTTTAATTAAATTAGAATAGAAGAGTTTATATATATTGATTGGTTATTAAAACGATTCAATTTAACACTTTGAATCATTTTAATAATTCTGGATAGAAATAGAGTTGTTATATTAAATTTAATGATATTATTATTATTATTATTATTGTGGGTGAACACAATAGTATATATTCAAAGTCTCTCAATTATTTGACATATGTCCCTATAAATGTGATGTTTATATTCAAATCATTTGATAATAAAAGTTCATATATCCCTATATATGTAATGTTTGTATTAAAGTTATTTGATAATTAACGTTGTCCCTATATACGTGATGCTTGTATTCAAAATTTAAACAATAACAACAAATTTTTAACTACTAAAATTACTTATTTCGTTCATGTCTCGAACGGCATATTATTTCGTTCATGTCTCGAACGGCATGGGTTACTTTATGTTGTCTGTCCTCTTTTTCTTTCATTTCTTTTGTATATACACGACAATTTCCTTGATAATACTATATTAATGTCACTTCGCTGTTTCGCATTTTGTCAACGCATGAGTTACTTTATTTTGTCTGTCCTCTTTTTTTTTTTCTTCATTTAATGAGAATTTATTTATTTTTTAAGTATCAACTTGGAGACGTGTCAATTATTTCCATAATTGCTTAAAATAAATCGTCTTTTTAATACTTTTTGAACAATTTCCCAGAATTGAATTATTTTTGAACAATTTCCCAGAATTGAATTATTGTTTATTTGGAAGTTTCAACATCATTCATTTATTGATCCTTGCATATATGGTCTTTAGAAATAACAATTTCTTTGACTATTGAAGTAACATGATTTGTGTGTTCAAGATAATTACTTAATATAATATTAATGTGTAAGAGATTATACTTTTTGTCATAAAATCTAAACGATTTTAATAATTTTAATGAGACATAAATAACGTTAACTTGATAAAGATACATAATTAAACTATCATGATAAAACACGTAAAACATGTATTGATATGAAAGTTTTTATAAATTTAACACATACATATATATATACATATATATATATATATATATATAATTTGAATCCAGAGGCGGAGCTTAGGGAGGCACAAAATGCGAGACGGAACAATGCCCAGAATAGCAAGGCCCAAAAAAATTAGATTTATTACTATTGTTACAATAAAAAATCAAACAAAATATTATAGATCAATGATAAAAATTTTAAGCCCAAAACCACATAACCTACTGTTGAATTTTATTAAAGTCATATGAGAAATACCAATAATTAGTACTGTACTACAACTATAAAACTTATCTCATTTTTTTGGGTCTAACTCTACTTTACGAGAAAGGGTCTCTTTTTAAGAATTTACAAAGGGCCTCCAACGTCCTAGCCCCGGCCCGGTTTGGATCTACCAAATAGTCTCAATGATAAAAAGAAATGTTATTTTATCTAGAGATTTTGAGTTCGAACAATTACGTCTGCAGAATATGTGAGATGCCCATAAATTAAAAAATTCTAAACATATACTACATCTTTATCACTCAAGTTACTAAAAAAACTTGTAACATATAAAATACAATTTTTACATTATGTAATTACACTAAGTATCTAAAAATATTATAAAATATATTTAGAATGTGTTTGAAAAGTTTTTTGTGATTAAAATTTAAGTATAATTATATAGTTGTGATATATTTGGACAATTATCCTAATTTATGTATCTCGTTTTTTTAATCTTAATATATAGATCTGGTTGAATAGGAAGTAATGAAATATTTCTAATTACGTTATTTAATTTTATAATTAATTTTTTTTTTATAATTTTATAATTATAATTTATACTATCAAACAATTATATGCAATTGATCAATAAATATATTTAAAAGATTAAAATTCGTTGTAAGTATATGTAAGAATAATCAAAAATAATTTTCCTTTTAATAAAAAATTGTGATCTAATGACAAGTGGTGAATAATGTAAGGTTTTAGAAGTGTTCTCATTCCACGTATTTTAGATATATTTTTTGAGAATTTTTTTTTTATTTTCTCTTAAAATTTTATAAAATGTTTAATTTAAATTTTACTATTTTATCTTTCTTAACATAAAATTCTACGTTCGTCTACACCAATAACTTTTAAAGAGTTAACATATTATAAATATTTAAATAATTGTGTATTAAGAATTCCTTTGTGTTTCCTTTCCTCCAAATAAAATGATATATGAAAACGTTTTGGGTAAATCATATTTTAGTATCTAAATTATTATTATTATTTTATTTTGGTATTTATAATTTTTTATTTTTAAAAATTATATCTAATGTTTAGTTTATGTTTCAATTTGTACTAACCGTTAAAAAATAATAAAACTCTGATCTGATATTTTTTTAATGTTGACATGTCATTACTTTATGGTATCATGTCAATATCAACGTTAGAAATTTACGGTAATGTATTAAAATGAATCTTAAACTAAACATTAGGTATGATTTAAAAAAAATAAAATTTAAATACCAAAACGGAACATAATTAATAATTTAGGTATTAAGCGTGTAGTTTACCCAAAAGGTTTTAAAAAATTCCCGACCGACCTCTCCTTTTCCTCCGATATTATGTCTCTCCTCCTCCAGTCCCTGACCCGTACCCTCTTTTGCCTTCAAGTTTCTTACAGGCCAAACCAGAAAATTATTATATAAGGTAATTTGTTAGACCCTAATCTTTCCGGTTCATCTGATTTTGAGTTTTGGTTCGACTCATCGTCGCTTTTGATGTGAAATGTGCTCACAGCGCTGTTGAGATCTTTAGTGATGGTCGATGATGCCGTTACCGCGACATCGCTACTCCACCTTATGTTTTAAATCCTTCTCATGTGTTCAGCACAATTTCGATGAATTTTCTAAAAACTTTAGGATTTTATTTTATTTTTCTTTGTTTTTTTCTAATATATTTTTTGAATTCAATTCTGGGTATCCCATTTTTAATTAATGTTGTTAATAAATATGCATGTTTATAATGTCTTTGCAGGGAGAACAGAGTAAAACCTTGAAGCTATAGTCCAGAACAGCCATTTTGTTTAGATTTTTTATGTACTTTTTTTTTTTTGCCTTAAATGGGCTGCTTTCATTCTAAAGTAACAAGAGAATACCCACAACACGAAGATGCCATTGTACTCGCTTCACAAACTGCCTGTAAGTTGGCAAATTATTACAGCTTTCTCTTCATTGGGTGTACCCAATTGTTTGATTTGTTTCATGAGGTGAAACACGACGTTTCTGAGCATTTTTCAATCATCAGTCAACAAATATGCAAACTAAGAAGGATAAATTCCAAATTATTCTTGGTTTCTTGTTGATCTTTATGACCTTGGAAATCTTATTTCCTGAAAAAAAAGGGTTGTTTATTCAGTTTGGAGTAGTGTTCTAATCTTTCTCAGTTGGTTTTGCTTGTATATGCAGTTACTGTTAGTGAAGTTGAAGCACTCTTTGAGCTATTCAAGAGCATCAGCGGTTCTGTGATCGATGATGGGCTGATTAACAAGGTAATGTTCAGGGCTTCCTTTGTGTCAACGAGAGATTTTCTTTTCTTTTCTTTAATGTGGTTTAAGATAAATATTATTACATCTGATGTGTTGCATGGTTTTCATGACATTGCTGTTTGATTTGCAGGAAGAGTTTCAGTTAGCTCTGTTTATGAATAGAAAGAAGGAAAACATTTTTGCTAATCGGGTATTTTATTTTGTTGCTTTAGATCCTTATGGGGAAATAAATATTATGTAAAGTTTTGAGTTCCATTATTCTTTTGTGTAAATTGTGTTTGAGGTGCATGTGATGACTAGCAACTAATGATTGAGCTGCATAATAATCTATAGAATCGAATTTTGTTTTTAGGGCATGTATTTATCACTTTTATCTCGTAATTTGTTTTGTATATAATTCTAAGCTTTATGAGAGATGCCTCTCAGACCAGCTTCTTTTAACGTTGTTGTTATGCAGCCTTCTAATACATGCAGATCTTTGATTTATTTGATGCCAAGAAGAAGGGAATCATTGATTTTGGTGACTTTGTCCGTGCACTCACCGTCTTCCATCCAAATGCCTCACAAGAGGTCAAGACAGATTGTAAGTATACAGTTGGTGTAATAATCTTGAATCGCATAAAAAAAATGTTGATCTACCATCTCAATTTTAATTTGATTGTTTACATTGCAGTTGCATTTAAACTTTATGACATGGATGGAACAGGTTTTATTGAGCGTAATGAGGTATTTTGAGCCTGATACACTATTTATTTTGTATATCACACAAACTTCTTTGCAGGCAACTTCATTTTATGTGATTTTTGCAGGTCAAGCTGATGCTGATTGAACTTTTAGGTGAATCTGAAATGAAAGTAGCTGATGAAATTATCGAGGCCATTCTTGATAAGGTGAGAATATGTGTGGTAAAACAGTGGTCTTATCTAATACGGTTATTTGTTTCCCAATGCAATTTTTTACTGAGACATGGGGATTTATGAGCAGACATTCTCGGATGCTGACATTAATCAGGATGGAAAGATAGACATATTTGAATGGCAAAACTTTGTGGCCCGTAATCCTTCGTTGTTGAAAATCATGACTCTCCCTTATCTCAGGTATGTTTTTACCGATACTATTCCCGGCTTACCTAGAAACATTACTTGCCTGAAAGCTCATCCGTCCCACAAATACGAATCATGCAGGGACATAACAACAACATTTCCAAGCTTCATTTTTAATTCCAAAGTAGACGAGGTTGTTACATGATAAGGGCGTATGTACCCGGTTTAGCATTTCGATATTTTTTGCATGATATGTTGACACTGATTGTCTCTGTGAATAAAGTAAAAGCCTGTAAGAGAGCCAAAGGCTAAATATGATTAGGGTTGGTAGTTTTTACTCAAATATACAGGCATTGAAGTTGACCACTTCGGGTCTTTCTCATTTGTAATAATTGATTTTGTAGTTGTAAATGTTAGATTTTGGTTTTCATGTTGATGGATTGCTTGAATACTTTGACTTGGTTAAATAAGTCAACCTATCCTATTCTGATTGATCGCGTAGTGGACTTGGTTAAATAAGTTTGTTTGACTGTAAACGGTTCAACAAATTCCAACTACCAAATACGTGAATGGGTAAGCTAGCACGTTTAGTAAAAAAAATCATATTTAACGTTTGATTTTAATTTCATTTTGGTCTTCTATTGTTAAAAATTAACGGTAATACTAACATGTCACCACAAAATAATACTCTGTCTGTTCCACTGACGTACATAATACTCCTTTTGTTCCATTAAATGTATATTTTTTTATTTTTAAATTTGTTTCATTCAAAATATCCTTTTAACAAATAACATTACTTGCATTTCCTTTTCTATTGTTGTATATTTTCTTATCGAAATAAATCTACTAAATTTATCAATCATTTTTGGGATAATTTTATCATTTTTCTTGGTTAAATATGTCTCTTAAAAATATGTGCATAATCAATATAAGACAAATTATGAGATGGAGAGAGTAGTATGTTATAAAGTTATGCTACTCTTAATATTTTAAGATTTGATGATCAAAACAGAATAAAAATAATAATTGAGTATTAAATGTGTAGTTTCATACTATAAATGTACTTAGGCATTTGGCTATAAAAAGATAATATACTTTATGTTCGCTTGAAATTGTTTAAAAAATATTGCGTTTCGTCACGCCACACCAATTGAGAGTTGATATATTATTTTAAGGGTTAATATATATTTTGGTACTTGAAATTGACTTGACGATTCGATTTAATTCCTATGCTTTTTTCTTTTGTCACATTAGGTATATGAACTTTTATTTGTCTAGTTAGATACAGGAATTTAACTTGATCAAAATTATAATTATACTTTTTTTATTCAAAATAATACTTAAATTTTTTATAATAAATGAAAGAAAATATCAATAAAACTCCTTGCAAAATTTATTATAATTTTAAGATTTCTTGAATAAAATATTGAGATACACAAAATAAATAATAGTTATTGAAATTAAATCAGTTTTAGATTGCAAGAGCATGAAGTCCTCATCTTGGCCCAATGATATCCGAATATGCGTAGTAAAAGCCCAACAAAGATGAAGCACTGCGGTAAAACTGAGTCAACTCGCTTGATTTGTCACCGAGTCGACACCAAAAGGAACTGTTAAAATCAAAAGGGCCAAAACCTCAAAAGCAGAAATTCGCTTTGCTCGTTTTGTTTTTGAGACAGCAAAAAAGGAAGGGTAAAGAGCAATCTCCGACATGGATTTCTCAGAACAAGACGTCGACCTCTTTGGAGAAGACGACAACAACAACGACAATCGTGATGGCTCCCGCGAATCATCTTCCTCAACGTCCTCTGCTTCATCGTCGTCGTCGGCTTCTTCTTCCTCCAACGGCGGCGGCGGCGGAGACAGCAGCAGTGCTAGTGGAAGCGCTAGCAGCGGAGGAGAAGATGAAAACGGTGAAGAAGTAAGCAATGTTAATGCCATTAATTACGATTATAATGAGAATATCGAAAGGGGTATTTTTGGCTATGAAGAGGATGAAAGCGATCTTTTTGGGTCTGATAATGAAGAGTACTATAAAACCCCTGCCACTAGCCCTTTCTCTATTCCTGGTAATTCTTTAATTCATTATATCTCTATTAGATTCACTCATTTTGACCCGTAATTAGGGATTTTGAAGTGTACCAATTCCTTTTATTTGAGATTTATCTATGAAAAAAGAAACCTTTGGGCTAGAATTCTGCTATTTAAGTTTTATGGAGTAATCTCAATGTGCAAGTAATTTTAAGTATACGGGCAGCTAGCTATTAACAGCTAAATTTAATATATAAGTTAAAGAGGAGTTGTTATGGAGTCCTTTTTATATGTTTACTGAATGTTTTTAAATTCTAAGATCATAAGAATGAAATATGAGCTATTATATTGCTTTATTTGATGAAATGTGACAATGTTATGCAGGAATATTTTAACTAGCTGCGCCTGCAATTCTTGTAATATACACTGAATAATTGAATTGATCTTTGGTTGAACCTTTTGTTTCCTGCTTAAATGGTAACTAATCTTCTTTATCACTATTGTTTTACAGTATTGCCTGTTATTCGTAATACTAATAACCCAGGCAGAGGAGGTTTCCGACGAGGTCGCTGGCACAATGATAGAGGAGCTGGTATCCTTGGCCGTCCTGGTTATCCTCCCAGACAAGGTTATGGCTATGGCAACAAATTTGGTAATGGATATCGTGATGACCGCTTTGTTTCTGAGCTAAAGTTCTTAAAGAGTGAAGAGACATTATCTAGAAAATGCATCGCATTTCAGGAAGTGAGTAAATTACTTTTTCTTTTTTCTTTAATGATCCATCAAATAATATAGTTTGATATACCAAAGCAAGGCAAAGTTATTATACCAAATTATCTTTTTCCCTTTTAGATGTAGTGAAGGTGGTTGTCAGGATATTTCACATGGCTTTTTTTGGTTTATATACTTTTTTATAGCTTGTTGATGTGACCAGTAGTGTTTGTTTGGAGTTATTTTATACCTTTAGATACCCTTTAAAGCCTGTAAATTATTTACTTCTGTATACATGCACATACACCATGTTGTCAGGTAATTTTTTTGTGGGCTACCTTTTGCTAAATGTGGTAACCAAATTTGGCAGCCATGCGAACTCGCTTGCTATAGCCGTGTAGAAGGTGGAGATGTCTACTTTGATGACCGCAGCTTGGTAAGATTTATGGATATCAGCATTGTAACTTTCAGCAGGTCTTATATTGTCATTGTTGTCCTCCTTCTCATTAGCTCATTTTTTTATGTTTCTTTAATGTTTGCATCATCAGAGGCTTTTTAAACGTCTTATTACTGAAGAGATTGGAGCTGATCTCAATCAAGGTTTTGATACCTTTACTGAGAAAAAAGGTATGGTTTATTCATGAAAAGTTGGAAATTGTTCATGTTGAAATTGTCTTGTGTTTTGGTGATGTACATTATGCTACCATTTCTTATGTTATTCACATTTCTTTGGCATTTCGTATGAGGTCTAATCAATGCTGCCAACCTTGTGATTTCCTGGACCAGAATTAGGTTCAGAGGGTTTTGGTGATCTTCTTGCTTGCATAAGAGACAAAAATATCCCCCTTCAAAACATTCATTTTGTGGTATGGAAAATGATATTCTTTGAAATATGAATTTGCCATTTAATGCTTTTGTTAAGGATATCATCTAACAATATTCCATACTCCTTTGCAGACTTTTCGCAACAATCTGAATAAGGTAATTGCTTTCTAGTAAGAATGCACACACCTCCTTTCTTTTGTATGACTCGAATTACACAAGCATAGAGAATCTATGTTCATCAGTTTTTTTTACCTTCTATATGAACAATGTCAAAACCACTAATCTTTTTCACTAATAAGTGATGGCATTTATCCGAGTTTTCATTTATGAATTTGATGGATGATACACCACATTTTTTTATGTATTTCATTGGACTGTCTCTTGTTGTCATGCAGATAATGGCTACTGCTTACATTAAAAATGAGCCTTGGGAAATGGGAGTTCACAAGCGGAATGGTGTTGTCTATCTCGACCTGCATAAACTGCCTGAGAGACCACGGAGTGAGTTGGATCGTCGAAGGTACCAAAACTTTTATAGCACCTCCTTACTATTATTCCCTATGGGTCAGCAACATGAAGGAATCAAATGCTTTGAGGTGGCGTGTAGCCCTGCTGATTTCTTTTATTGCTTATTTAACTTCAAGTTCTAATTGCATCACTTTTGCTTTTTGATTTAGATGTTATTGGGGGTATTGTTTTGAGAGCCTTGCTACTGAAGATCCAAGGAGTGATGATGGTGAAGAGATACATCATGTTGATGCCAATGTTGAATACTGTTCGGTGATTAAAACGAAATTAGGGGCTCACCGTATTCTGATGGGTGCTGAAATGGATTGCTGTGATTCAACTGATGAGGGAAGAAGATTTTATGTGGAGTTGAAAACGAGCCGTGAGGTAAAGATGCAACTAGCTTAATGGTTCGTGATGCTCAATGCTTCGCTTGCTGCCTTCTCATTATTTGTAACAGTTTTTACTGGTATAATTCGTGAATGTGTCCCTTCCTTTGCAGTTGGATTATCATACGGAGGAAAGATATGAAAGAGAGAAACTGCTGAAGTTTTGGGTATGTTCTTTTTTCCAATGGACTGTTGGCTGTTCATGGATTGTTCTTACTTTGAAGTTCTGCATGCAAATTATATATATTACTTTCAGATTCTTACTTCATTATTTTATTTTATCAGAAATTCTTGGGAAATGGCATTTTAAAAATTTATATTGAGAAATGGTGTTCTTCCTTTTCAAGTTAGCCTTTGTTTGTGGAGAAAATAACTTTATTGTTTTGTCGTCACAGATTCAATCATTCCTGGCAGGTGTTCCGTATATTGTTATTGGGTTTAGGTAATTTCAGTTGGCATTTCCTACTAACTTCAATTGCCTTAAAATGTCTCTCATTCTTTACTTGTGTGACTAGAAAATCACTTTGTTCCAAAACCAAGTTTAGTTCAGACATAATGATGATAAAAAAAAAAAACTGTTTCAGTGTGTGTGTGCAATCTCCTCTAAAAATGCCGAGCTGTATTTATCCAGAAAACAATGTTGAGCTGCGTTCAGTTCCATGGTTCTCTTTGTAGTAGGTTTTTCTCTTTCAATTAAAATGAAGTTTCCATTGGCGTGTTTGATGTAGGGATGATTCAGGGCGACTTGTACGTACTGAGAGACTAAGAACCAAAGATATTACTCATCGAGTGAAGATGAAGAACTACTGGCAGGTATTATATATTACAGCAAAAGCATCTAATTAGTTGATTAATCTTTTTTTTAAATTGTATTCTCATTGGCATAATCAAAGATATTACGCTGTGATAGTGAAGAACTACTCATGTGCAACAATGATTTTATGGTTTTATATACATGCACCAAGCTGATTTTTCTCCCATTTTGGAATTTCATTGATTCATTGTGCTATAAAGTAAACCTTTTTCCTTGTTTATCTTTAGGGAGGAGTCTGCCTGGCATTTGCTGATGAGGTATTGTGCTGGCTTTACGGAACAGTCAAAGAGAGTAAGATTCTAACTTCCATTTCCCCTTCAAATGTGCTTGATTTTTGTTTCTAATTGAAAATGTATAGTTGTTTGTATGACCGAGTAAAAATCAACATCGAGCATGATGGAAGTTTTCTAGCTCCTTGTTCTGATTTCTTTTGTTGGGCATTAGACGAGGACTACATACTGCAGTTCGCACCACCATTCAACCGGTTAGAACTTCTACAAGCGCAGTCTTGCCCCGATGCAATTACTAACCAGGTCGAACAATCGTAGTCGTTGGCAGGTTTCTTGTTAGTTTGTGATCCAGATAGTTCAAATACAGGATTAAAGAGGATGGTTTATATTTTACCAACTCAGCACTTTGCAGACGAACATTACATCACACATGATAAAGTACTCTCCAAGTTCAGCCTTTTTGAGAAAATATTTGTAGCGTTGTAAAGTCAAAGAACCCCAACTTGGTGTTGGTAGATTCAAAAGGAAGGGAAACAAAATTCCTTGGTAATCAATTATTAGATTTAAAAGCTCCTACTTAAGTGTACTATTGAAAGTTGAAACTCATGAGAGGTAGATGCTGTTTCCGACTCTGCTGTGCTGCACTATTGTTATTAATCCTACTTCCAAAATTAAACTGCAATGGAATCAGTTGGATCGGGGATTGGGATCGTACATTTCTGAGCTTAGGGTAATAGGAATCACTCTTTTCTTAAGATGCATCCGAACCAACCTATTATTGTGTATATAATGTGCTGAGCAGTTTGTTCTTCAATTACTTCATAACAGACTTGCAATCCTCTTGAATCTGGAGGAAAAAAAGAGCTTCAAAATGTTGCTTTTTACACTGCGGTAATAAGTTCCACAAGTCTCATGGGTTGGCTTGAATGTAATTGCAGTACATACAAGTTCTAGTTTAGGTTATATTTAACAGTTTTACAAGATGAGAAAATTTTAGAGCATGGTAAGTAAAGCATCTTGGGAAGAACATTCATTACTGGGAAAGATGGCTATATTGTGCGTTTTTTTTTAATAGTTTAGGGTTATTATAAAATAGTATATGTTTAGAATTATTTTAATCAATTGACAACACACAAACATTATGCAAAAGCAATTGCTTGAATCCAAAGAGAATAACATTTATTTTTATCACGAATGAAGGCAAGGGAAACTTATCTATATCTCTCGGATAAACGGCTTCATTCTTCTTCTGATTAGAAGGAAAAACTATGCGGAAGAAAAAAGTAAAAAGAAATAATAAAAAAACCTTAAGCTTTGTGCTTCATATTCTAATGAAGCATTCATATATTTTATGTAGGACAGAATGGAAACATGGGTCCTTAATAGATAACCCCCTGTCCTACTCTTACAATTTTATTGCATCTTAAGCTGGTTCCAACACAAACATATAAAAATTAGTGGTAGTGGATACAGTTTCCATAGTAATTGTTCGAATCGACCGATGGAGAATAAATCAAGAATCTATACATTACACGGTCTCCGGCTGGCCTATTTGCCCTGTTAGCTGGTTCGTCCCCAGTACTCGCCACATTTCTTCAAGATTCTTCTTTTCTTTCCTTGCCTCATTTCGACCATTGATGTTACTTTCACACCTACGATGAAAATAGTAAAAAATTACAATTCCATTTTAACAGAAACTCGAACCATAAAATATAACTTAAAAGGTTTTAGGATTAAATTTTATTGTATCTCAATCAGTATATTAACATCTAGCTCAGATGATCACTAATGTTTTAACAGAAAAAAAAAGAGTTTGAATGATCATTTTGTAACTTTTAATAGTATGATACTCAACAAAATAGCATCACATAATAGGAGGGCCATTTTATAATTTTAATAGTTAGAGACTCAATGATGATTTATGTACTTTTATCTTACTTTATTTTACATATAAAATTATAAAGATATTTTTGGTTTGAATCAAGGTGTTTATTGTTGGTGGTAGTAATTAATCCTTTTTTTTTTTTGGAGGTAGACGGATCATTAAATAGACTTAATTATGATGTGAGGACTAAAATTCCTATCATATGGTTAAATAATCACAACATGATTATAAGATTGAATTATTAAAAAATGATTAAAGAGAAGTAATAAATGTTGACGGTACTCCCAATAGAAAAACTCATAATCTTCTAGTAATGAGTTCAATTAATTTTTGTTTATTCATTGGATTGGTACATAAATATATAGGGTAAACTACACGTTTAGTAATTCAATTATTATTTTTATTCTGTTTTGGTCATTTAACAATTTTATTTTTAAATTATACCCAACGTTACATTTTAGTCACTTACCGTTAAAAAATAAACAGAACTGTTAACAAGATATTTTTTTTTCCTCAATGAAGATGTGACATTATCTTATGGTGACATGTTAGTAGTACCGTTAATATTTTAACAACAAGTGACCAAAATGAAATCAAAACTAAATGATAGGTATGATTTTAAAAAATAAAATAGTTAAGTGACAAAACATAACAAAAGTGATAGTAGAAATACTAAACATGTAGTTTACCCATTTAGATAAAAACCAATAGTTAACACACTCTCCAAAATAAAAGCTTTTTTTAACCTAAAATGATACGTTAAGGGCTAAAATACTCTAGAAAAAAGAACAAGGGACAAATAAATTATTTTGTCAAATGTTAGAGTTTTTATCCTAAAATGAAACGCTAGGGGCTAAAATCTCCAAAATTAGAATAGGAGGTAAAATGACTATTTTGGTAAATATTGGGGGCTAATTTTGGTATTGTGCCTTATAAAATAAAATAGTTAAGTGACTCAAATGGAACAAAAGAGATAGTATGGATACTAAAAGTATAGTTTACCCATATATATATATATATATATATGTATTATGCATTGTTCAATTGGTGAGTTGTGACTAGCTAATCAAGCGCCACGTGTGATATTTTGGTACCGGAGAGTAGACGCCACCGCCCTTTAAAAACTTAAAAGCAGTCCCGAAGCTATCGCCGCCGATAATCGGCCATCTCACCGGACATATAACTTCTGTACCTATTTAACCTTTTAACTTTCTAGAAATTACCCTTCTCTCTATCCTGTTTGTTTTCACATCCAGCAAATATAAAGTGAAACCGCTCAAAAAAAAAAATCTACACAATAAATAACCTGTTTACACCCCTCATCTATATCTGATTTTAAAACCAAAAGAAGACCCTATATTTTCGGCGGCTAAGGTTGTTCGCGTCATTTCACGTTTAGCATCGGCGATAACGGGAGCGACTAATACCATTGCCTACGAAGAAGGAAAGATTAGAGAGAAGATGTACAGAGGAGACAGAGGGATTGGGGCGGCGGATCGGAAGCGGGTCAACGAGGTGCTTGATAAGCAGCTGGAACGATCGTCGCCCTCCACTTCGAGAGTGACCAACGGCAAGGATAAGTCCGCACGTTACCTCCTCACGGGGAAGCCCCCAACCGATCATCATCGCGACTCTCGCTCCGTTTCTCTACCCAAAGCAGACGCCGAAGGTGTATACGTAACAACTTCTCCCTCCCTCTTTTGATATCTAAATTCGGATTATTTTGTTTAAAAAAATGGACTTTTCCCTTTTGAAATGAGAAAAATAGAGAAATTGAGGTGTTTTTTTATTCTTTCTACATCTAGGTTTTGACAGTATTTTGAATTCGAGAAATTAAGTTATCTACCATTGTTCTTGATATGGATATGTAATTGGAGCCGGATGTAAATAAAATACGATTTTTTTATTGTTATTAATATGAATATTGTGGAAAAACACATTAATGACAAATAGACATTGAAGCTTATTCATATGGATGTAAATAAAATTGCCTCAGCTTTGGTGTGAGGAGATCATATGGATGTTTGTTTGTCGTTCAAACGAACCATCATTTCAATTACTTGAATCCTAAGTTTGTTTTTGCGTTCTGCGATTACCCTTCATCAAGAAAAAAGGGGTGGGGGGCATTTCCAAAATCAAATGATGTTGAATACATTTATGTTTTATGAACCTCTAAACATTCAGCTTTATGAACTGTAACATTATATTTGTGTTTATTCATGGTTACTAATTCAGTTTATTCTTGTTTTACTCTTCTGTGAACCATGTTTTCAAAGCGAGGGATGATTAAATTTTGGTGTTTGGTGACATTTCTTTCCAATTTTACTTGTTAGGGACATATGCTGATGCAAGTTTTTGTTGCATTGACTGTAGATGAATCTGAAACAGACAGCGAAGAGTCGGATGTTAGTGGTTCTGATGGGGATGATACATCTTGGATCTCATGGTTTTGCAACCTACGTGGAAATGAATTCTTTTGCGAAGTGGATGATGACTACATACAAGATGATTTTAACCTTTGTGGGCTAAGCAGCCAGGTTCCTTATTACGATTATGCCCTTGATTTAATTTTGGATGTTGAATCTTCCCATGGTAAGCTTACTGTTTCTTTCTCTTCTCAAGTTGTTACGTTGTGTGATTTTTTGTTACTTCTTGTTCTTGTTGAAGCCTTTTGTTCCATTCTGCTATTAGTTTTTGGAGACTTGAGTGTAAATGCTAGTCTCATTCTCCTTCTTCAAAGCAGATAGTTTTACGACATGCTTAATTCTAATCTGTCTGCTTCAGATCTTGATGAAGGCAAAAATTTAAAACGTTTTTCTATATTTAAGTCCTTGATAATAATACTTTAGTTTAAGTGAAACATATTATTTGTCATCTAGCAACATGGAAAGTGTCCTTTTTCTTAATATTTTCTTGCAACCCGTAATTTTGTTGGGCTGAAATTGATAGGAGATATGTTTACAGAGGAGCAAAATGAATTAGTTGAATCTGCAGCAGAAATGCTTTATGGTCTGATTCATGCCAGATACATATTGACAAGCAAAGGAATGGCTGCTATGGTGAGATGTTCGACATTTTATTTGATGTGATAATTTCATATTTTGATAATACGTAAATTGAACAACCAGATTATATCAATACTTTTGAAAACTTTTACAGCTAGATAAGTACAAGATCTATGATTTTGGAAGATGCCCCAGAGTTTACTGCTGTGGACAACCTTGTCTTCCAGCTGGTCAATCAGATATCCCTCGGTCAAGCACTGTAAAAATATACTGCCCTAGATGTGAAGATATCTACTACCCTCGGTCCAAGTATCAAGGCAGTATCCTTTAGGCCATTGAACTTATTTGCTTCTTCTTGTTGCATGGATTTTGTGGGGGAGATAACATGCATGTCATAAATAGATTTTGTTTTTTTGTCACTACTAAAAGTTTATTATATTCATATATTATCTTGACATTGCTTGCATTAGGACCTCTTCTCTCAGCATCTTGCAATGTTCCTAGGAATAACTTGTTTCATGACCTCAGAGAGAGGGGGGATGTAGACTATTTTCTTCAAAAAACGACATGAACTAGTCCCCTCGAGCTGCAGAACCATTTTGTTAAATATGGTTGAAAGGACTCTATTTGATAAGAAAATCTGCCAATACGACATAAATGTTGTGATATATTGTCATAAGATAAACATTCATATTTCCAACTTTGCTTTGGCATGTTTTGATTTGAGTTTGTAGTGAACTTAATTCTATGTAAGACATCGATGGAGCCTACTTTGGGACCACATTTCCACACCTGTTCCTGATGACATACGGGCACCTGAAGCCACAGAAGGCAACACAAAGCTACGTTCCAAGAGTATTCGGGTTCAAGATGCACAAGCCATGATATATCGGAATCAAAGATCACTTCCGGGCACACAAGTTTGTATCCCGAGCTTCTACTTTGGAAGTAATGGTTTTGAACGATGAGGTATAGTTTGACAGTCCCTCTCAAGTAAATCATGTTTTAGAGCCGATTTTAAATGTTCTAAAAAAGTATTACCATAAAGCATATTTGCTAGCAGCAAGTGTTAATTGAGCAGCTTTTTACTTTGGTGTTCTTAGCTGGAATTGTTTGTGGGTAGAGATTACTCTCCAAAGTAGTCTTAATTGATTATTATTTGATGGCTGTTTGGTCTCGTGTGTTACCTTTGTATTATGTGTTTATCGTTACTTAAAGATATTTTTGTATCAATTTGTTCACTTGTAGGATGAACGTGTTTTAGTCTTCTGATTTCTGGTGTGTGACCTTGTGTTCATGGAAACGAGATTAAGACTCTGGGTAATCTCATAACAAAATAAAATTATTTGTAGGATATTTGGCTCCAATTTATTGGAAAATTTAGTGGTTTTACTTGTTTAGAAAATATAGTATTTTTGGTGTTAGAGAAGGGCTTTTAAATACTTCATTTGAACAAAGAGGCCCACTTCTTAGCATTTAGATACAGATTTGTTTTGTTTGTACACCCAAAACACAAACAATTAGGTACCTGACAATAGCTATCCGTTAAGTCGGTATGTGTAATAAGAGTTAGGGTACCAACAGTGGCCCGAACCGATGTCAATCTTTAATTTTTACGAAAAAATAAGAATGATTAATGTTGATATTGACAAATGGATAATATAAATGACATCAACTTAACAAATCTATTAAAAAAATCAGTAATTATAGGAAAAATTAAATTAAAACCTCACACTTTAAGAATTTGACTGGGCATAGAAAAAACCAAAATAAATAGCAATATGGATAAGAAAACAGAAACAGTGACATGCATGGATGCTCCCAAAATAGATAAGAGGAAGTGATAAGAGATGAGGACGACGTGGACAAATAGTAGTATTTGATTTTGGAGTAATATACTAAATATGTGGATAAGGGAACATGGTGGTAGGACCAGTTACTTGCTTTGTCATTGGATGTGGAGGCTTCACCTCCTCCTCTTTTTGACCAATTAATTGCATTTATTATATACTTCTTCAGACACTTACAAACCACCTTACTACACTTATCAGAATCGAATCATTATTAGACGAATTAATCGATTTGTTTTCTTTAATTATTAATTAAATAGAACTTTTTTTTAAAAAAAAAATAGTTGAATCAAACTAAATTCGGTTAATTTCGTCAGTTAACCGAATTAATCAAATTTTATAAATATATATGTTAATTTTTTATATTTTTTATTAATTCTGTTAAGATCAAAGTATAAATGCTCCTAAATCTAAATAATATATAATACATTAAATATTTAATAATTTAATTAATTTGATTAATTAACTGATTTTAAATTTTGAATTAATTGTCAATGGACTGAACCCAACATTAATGGGTCGATTAATCGAAAAAAAATTACTTCGTTCAGATAATTTGATTTTAACCGAATTATGAACACCCTTAATCATGTGTTGTCTTAAACACTTCATTTTAGATTTTATTAGTTTCTTCCTATTTTAATATAAATATGTGTTAAAACTTTGGTATAAACAAGATTAGCACATGTTCATGACCTGACAAAAAAAGGTTAATGTCAATATATGAGCATAATTTGTTCAAAGCATTTAGCGGTCCATTTTCGAGTGGAGTACTAAAGAATCCAAAAGTACCTTTTTAGGTTTTACTAGTGAGATCGATTCGTGTTACACTTCTAATTTTGATAGGTTAGTCTCCTAATATAATAATTTTTTGCACACACAACGAATCAAACTTGAAACATGCTTAAACGATATCAAACTGCTTATCACTTAAACCAATCCCATTAGTGACAAATATGATATTAATATTTTATATTTATTTAAATTTACTGAATTTAATTTGATCGAGATTGTTGATGGTGTAACAGATAAGAAATTGTTGATGGTGTAATAAATATGGAACCTTGGCGAGAGAAGTGATGGTGAGTGGATTGAAGGTTGATGGTGTAACAGATAAGAAATTGTTGATGGTGTAATAAATATGGAACCTTGGCGAGAGACAAGTGATGGTGAAAGTGGATAATTTGAAGGTTTTTAGGATGTTACAGCAAAACTCTCACAGATGCTCTTCTTTTACCCTTCTGGACTGAATTACAAAGCTGCTAAACTGCGAGTGGAACGTGAATCTGAGACATGTCAACAGAGTCACTAACTAGGTTGCTGATAAGTTATCCAAGATGGCTGGAATAGGAGGTGTTGCAGATATGGTGTCCTCCATGCCACCTTTGGAAGTTGCTTCTCTCTTGCAACAGGATTACATTGGTCGTTTTATAGAAGCTCTTGTTTAACTCTTGTTTTGTTCTCTTATTTCATAATATTTTTTTTTAAAAATCGAATATATTTAAATATTTAATATTTTTTATTTTTTATTTGAAAGTGATGAGAAATTCAAATAGACTAGGAATTATATAAAAATCATTCAACTTGACTCGAAATATGAGTTTTAACAATTTTTCAAACCTGATTATATTTGTAAATGATTAACTCAATTCTATTTTAATTTCTTCATATTATTTTATTTAATTATTAAATAGTTATGTTGCTTTTAACTTTTGTATTTAATATTTTTATTTTATGTACCTTTAAATATAAAAAGTATCATATTTTTAATGTTTATGCCATACTATTATGCATTGTTATAGATTTATTTTCTCCGAAATATAAATTATATAATACATAAAAATAAAATAATATGTTATTTTATGAACGTAAAGAATCAAATCGAATTTGAAATCTAAATATTTAAACTTATTCATATTTTCATCCAAATTTATTTTTTAAATCTAATATTTTTACTTGAAGTCTCTTAAATTTTAAATAGACCTCTAGAGTTGAACAATTCCCCTTCGACCACAACAATATAGCAAAATGAAAGGTAACATAGATTGAGATCTGACCAGAGGATCAGTTTAGTCGAGTTTCTTGAATTTTTTAACCATCTAATTTAATTTGTTTTTCCTTGGTTTTATTTTTTATATTAACTTTTAGTGTTACATTTATTAAAATTTTATTTTAATAAAATGACTTTATTTTATAATCTTTTGATGTCATTTAATAACGTTTTAAAGATTTTTTTAAAATTATTTTTCTCACAAGGTAATATATGTTTTAAAAATTCTAAATTATTTGACAATGAACGTTCAACCACCTCTATAAACGGTAGCACTTGAATTCAAAATCTCTAAGAACAACAATGGTCTATTTTAACGTTGAAATATCAATTTATTTACAATTTTAACGTTTTTATATTTTCATTGATTCAATTGATATATATATATATATATATATCTGATAAATTATTACCGAGAAACCTATGTGTGGATTTCTGATTTACTTTAATCTTATTTAAATTTATTTGATTTATGTGTTATTATTTTATATTAATTCATAATTCTGATTGTTGGAGATCTCCCACGGAAACTGTTCTCAACCTGGCGTTAGGGGCAGCCTACTATCTTACCTCCCCTTATCTCATTACATACGGGAATAAGATCAACTAAATTTTATTTTACATTAATTCTGAGACTGGAAAGTCTGGCATGCATTATCTTTATATTTGTTTATAGTGTATTGATTAAGGAATTATAAAGGTTTTCGATTCATTAATTTCTCAAATTAAAAAATAAAAACTAAAAAAGTGAGTGCTAAATTCATTAAACTGCCACGTGGAATAAAGTAAGAGGCCTCGTCAGCAGATAGACTGGTTGAACGCCACCCGGCACTTCCCCCATTTGAACGGGTTTTGATACTTGGAGATGTGACCAAGGCAAAGCGCCTTCCTCAATGTAATTGCCCCTAATTGTACCCATATTTATAAAATTACTTTAGATTTTTTCTCTCCAGTTTTCATATTTTCTAAAACAGAAAAATATATTTTAAAGAACCCTTCCTCAATGTGATTGCCTCACTATTTTATTCTTTCGGAATTATACAAATTGGGAATTTTAAACTAATCGTAATTTTTGGGCGAAAATAACACAAAAAACAAATGGAAATGGAAGGAAAAAGGAGGCAGTGGCATTTGAGAAAATAAAATGAAAAGCAGGGGGTTTAGTTACAGAAGCCGTGTCAACCAACAAATTTATAATGTTGCTCGAGTAAGAATGGAATGTCGAAATTCGAAAACCAGACATCGAAAAGCCAAAACCAAACAACCCATAATTAGTAGGCAGAAAACACAACTCAATCAGACTCAAGAAACATAGACGAAATTGCCTTCGAAGTTCAAACAAACACTTTTCAGTTTCACTTGCCGTTATAAACACAGAGAAATCAAGAAATAGAAGAGTTGTTTGAATTATGTAAATGTATCAGAAGAAATCTGACCAACAACAAGAAGAGATCAGAAAAGCAGGCATAATCTCTTCCGATTTCAACAACCCACACTGGTTTTGGTCTCAGTTCAATCATCAAAGCCCTGATTTTGCCATTCAAATTAAGCCACATCTCACCATCCGAGTGCCAAACCTTCACCAACGCCACCAGCAGCAGAAGCCCACCGTCACAAAGAACCCAACTTTCACCATCAAAAACCCTCCTCCTCCGATAACCCTTCCCCACCACATGCCCTTCTTTCGACTCCTCATAAGCGGCCTATAATGACCCACAATTCTTTTTCTCGTTCCCCTACCCTTTCTTCTTTCAAGAATCACCGTGTCCACTGCGAAAGGGTTGAAAGATTCAATCTTTCCCAGTATTTCTCTTGTTCTGCTTGTCTTGGTAGGAAACTTGTTCATCATTTGAACCGTGGCCGTTTGCTTTGTTTCCACTTACGTTTCCTTTTTTTGCTCTCTCTCCCATCGCTTTACTTTTTGGTTTCGGTTCCTCGGCGGGTTTTCGTGTTGAATATCGTTGCTTTGCTTGCTTTCTCGCTTACCCTTTTGGTTTCCCTTAATCTTGCACTCCCTCGCTTGCCTTCGATTCGATTGCTTCTCGCTCGTTCGTTACCTGCTAAGTTTAGCCAACTAGGGTCGTCTTCTAAATATTCGAAAACTGTTGTTTGGTCTATTGGATCCAAGCCGAATTCGGAGAAGAAGCCGAATTCAGGGACATGGGTGCAGGTTTATAGTAA